ACCACGCCTCTCGCGCCAACCGCATGCGTATTCCCGCTTTGATGCCACCTGGAATCGACCTCGAGCAAGTGCGCGAGGAACGGGAAATAGCCCTCTACAACAGAATCAACGCACGAAAGGCGGAATTGGCTGAGCTTCCTGCCAATATTGGCGCGTGGGATTCTAGCCAGAGCGACACCGCCACTGCGGATGACTCTGTGAAGCTCAAGGCCCTTATTGAATACAAGATGCTCAATCTTTTACCGAAACAAAGACTTTTCCGGAAGCAGATTCAGAATGAGATGTTTCATTTTGACAATCTGGGCATGACTGCGAATCGTTCGAGCCATCGCCGTATGAAGAAGCAATCACTACGGGAGGCTCGTATCACCGAGAAGTTGGAGAAACAGCAGCGCGATGCTCGCGAAACGAGAGAAAAGCGCAAGCAGTATGATCATCTTCAGGCTATTCTTACTCATGGTGCCGAGTTGCAGACCGCTGCTGCCCAACAGCGTACTCGTATGCAGAAACTGGGCCGCGCGATGCTTCAGCACCACCAGCACATGGAGCGTGAAGAACAGAGACGTGTGGAGCGTACCGCCAAGCAACGTCTCCAGGCTTTGAAGGCCAACGACGAGGAAACGTATCTCAAGCTGCTCGGACAGGCCAAGGATTCTCGCATCTCTCACCTTCTTAAGCAGACCGATAACTTCCTCAAACAGCTTGCTGCCTCCGTCCGGGAGCAACAACGGAGTCTGGCCGAGCGCTATGGCGAAGAAGACCAGTTCTTTGAAGAAGATGAAGAAGAGGAGATTGCTTCCGGAAGCGAAGATGAAGGTGACGGAAAGAAGAAGATTGATTACTATGCCGTTGCACATCGCATCAAGGAGGAGGTGACTGTTCAACCTAGTATCCTTGTCGGTGGTACGCTCAAGGAGTACCAGATGAAGGGTCTACAGTGGATGATCTCCCTGTACAACAACAACCTCAATGGTATCTTGGCTGATGAAATGGGTCTCGGAAAGACCATTCAGACCATCAGTCTAATCACTTACATCATTGAGAGGAAGAAGAACAATGGTCCCTTCCTCGTCATCGTCCCTCTTAGTACCCTTACCAACTGGAACCTCGAATTTGAGAAGTGGGCGCCGTCTGTTTCTCGTGTTGTCTACAAGGGACCCCCCAATGCCCGTAAGCAACAACAGCAACAGATCCGTTGGGGTAACTTCCAGGTTCTATTGACAACCTACGAGTACATCATCAAGGATCGTCCGATTTTGAGCAAGATCAAGTGGACTCACATGATTGTCGACGAAGGTCATCGTATGAAGAACACTCAGTCCAAGCTGAGCAGCACGCTTTCACAGTACTACACTAGCCGTTACCGTCTTATTTTGACGGGTACACCTTTGCAAAACAACCTTCCCGAGTTGTGGGCACTGCTGAACTTCGTCCTGCCTAATATCTTCAAGTCCGTCAAGTCGTTTGATGAGTGGTTCAACACACCTTTTGCCAACACAGGTGGACAAGATCGTATGGAACTGAGCGAAGAAGAACAACTGCTGGTGATCCGTCGCCTTCACAAGGTTCTGCGGCCTTTCCTGCTGAGACGTCTGAAGAAGGATGTCGAGAAAGATCTTCCTGACAAGCAAGAGAGAGTCATCAAGTGCCGTTTCTCTGCGTTGCAAGCCAAGCTATACAGGCAGCTTGTCACACATAACAAGATGGCTGTCAGCGATGGCAAGGGAGGTAAGACCGGTATGCGTGGTCTTAGCAACATGCTGATGCAGTTGCGAAAACTCTGCAACCATCCGTTCGTGTTTGAGCCAGTGGAAGACCAGATGAACCCTGGACGAGGAACCAACGATCTGATTTGGCGTACTGCCGGTAAATTCGAGCTTTTGGATCGGATTCTGCCTAAGTTCCGAGCCACTGGCCATCGCGTCCTGATGTTCTTCCAGATGACGCAGATTATGAACATTATGGAAGACTTCTTGCGTCTTCGTGGATTGAAGTATCTCCGTCTTGATGGATCCACCAAATCAGACGACCGATCCGATCTGTTGAAATTATTCAACGCCCCGGATTCGGAATACTTCTGCTTCCTGCTATCGACACGAGCAGGAGGTTTGGGTCTTAACCTTCAGTCCGCCGATACCGTCATCATTTTCGATTCTGACTGGAACCCTCATCAGGATTTGCAAGCCCAGGATCGTGCGCATCGTATCGGTCAAAAGAATGAAGTTCGTATCTTGCGTCTGATCAGTTCCAATTCGGTTGAGGAGAAGATTCTGGAGCGAGCTCAGTTCAAGCTCGATATGGATGGCAAGGTCATCCAAGCAGGAAAGTTCGACAACAAGTCTACCAATGAGGAGCGTGACGCTTTGCTGCGGACGCTTTTGGAGACTGCTGAGGCAGCTGATCAGATTGGTGATCAGGAAGAGATGGATGACGATGATTTGAACGACATTATGGCGCGGTCCGACGAGGAGTTGACTACGTTCCAGCGTATTGATAAAGAACGACAGAAGACCGTACAGTACGGCCCTGGTCACAAGTACCCTCGTCTGATGTGCGAAGAAGAGTTGCCCGACATCTATCTTACGGAAGACAACCCGGTAACTGAGGAGGTCGATGTTGAGTTAGCTGGTCGCGGTGCACGTGAACGCAAGGTTACCCGGTACGATGACGGTCTTACCGAGGAACAATGGCTTATGGCTGTCGATGCGGATGATGACACGATCGAGGATGCTATCGCTCGGAAAGAGGCGAGGGTCGAGCGTCGTCGGGTGAACAAAGAGAAGCGTCAAAAGAAAACAGTGGGTGATTCTTCACCGGAGCCTTCCCGCGAGAACTCCGAGACGCCTCAGCCGAAGAAGCGTCGCAGAGGTCCCGCTCCCAAGCGCAAGGCTGAGGAGGTTGTGGAGGAAACGCCTCAGCCAAAGCGGAAGAGGGGAAGACAAGCCAAGCCGGTTGAGACGCTGTCTCCCGAGGATCGTGCCATCCTGCAACGCATCGTCAATACCGTATACCAAGCGTTAATGGACATGGAGGCGGAGCTGCCGGCCGATTCGTCAGACAGCGAGGATGGCCCTGTTACGCGGTCCATCATTGAGCCATTTATGAAGCCACCGCCCAAGTCGCATTATCCCGACTATTACATGGTCATTCAGAACCCGATCGCCATGGATATGATCAAGAAGAAGATCAACCGTGAGGAGTATCAGAGCCTGAAGGACTTCCGAAATGACATCCATCTCCTTTGCCAAAATGCCCGGACTTACAACGAGGATGGCAGCATCCTGTTCCAGGATGCCAATGATATCGAGGTGAGTAGACATCTGTGAGCAGACGAGATTGAGCAGTTACTGACCGTACCTAGGCAAAATGTTTGGCGGAGCTAAAGAAGGAGACCGAAGACTACCCACAGTTTGCCAACTACGATGACTTGGGTGGACAAGGCGGAAATGATCAGTCGACTGCTGCGGCATCGGGGGCCGAAACACCTTCAGCGGTTGCTACGCCAAAGCTGAAGCTCACGTTCAATAGCGGCAACCGAGACAACGCCGCGGCTGCAGGAGCCGGCAATGGCGTCAATGAGAATGATTGACATTGCTAATAGACGTTGGTGAAGACATAGTGGCTGTTATTTCTTGACATGGTTTAACGTGTTGCAAAAACTTCGAATACCTGCACATTACATTCTATGCTGTTTTGATCTGTCTTTGATATGCCCCCCCCCTTTTTTCCCTACCGACTTTTGCTCTGTGGATGGCGTTCCTGTGACCTTTTGGTGGCTGGGGATGGACGATGGTTGATGGCGCACTGCTCTATTCGATTTGAAGACGAGCGATTTCTCCTTTTACACTTCTCTCCCCGGAATCCTCTTCGAATTTTCTATTACTACACCTGTTTTTCTTTTTCTCTCTCTCTCTTCCATTTTCCTCATTTGAGTGCCGACGATGTCTAGACCGGGCAGGTCGTGGATCTTTCACTGTCACTTCGGACTCGGCTGGGAGGGTTCTGCCCGCCAGGGGAGTCTCGCTTTTGAAGATGACATTGGTTGTAATTGGATCTTCAACTATGTGATTTATTAGCGACGGTCAATGTAGCCCTACGTAATGTACCATGTTTGATGTTGGTGTGCAAAACTATGCCGTGTGGATTCCTATAGCTACGAGGGTAGACAGATTGACTGTGAGATACCGACAAAGAGAATATCATTGTAAACATGCCATCGTGTATTTCAAAACAGCTTGGGCCTGAATGATATTGGCCGACTTCTTCGTAGCTCGGTCGCAAGCTGTCCATAAGGCAGTAGATGCTTACACCATGAGATACATTATGACACCCGCAACATGCTATCTACACATTCGAATTGGAAATCCATATTTTACATGAGTTCTTCGACTTTCAGCCTGTTTCCAGTAAGAAGTTGAAAACCAACGTGTGGTTCGCTAACTATTTAGTTAGGAACCTCTCTGCCTATCAGGTTCACAGGCTCATAGATGGTGGGATAAAGTGTACTATGGATTGAAATGGAAACTAATTCCGCACACACAAACACCGGGCAGGATAATCCACTTCTTTCCACCAGATCTGTAGTCTAGTATTATTTCTAGAATTTCAGGACACCTTCTATTGATATAATAATTACCTACGTGTTTTTCTAGAGATTTTTTTACACCTACAAAAATTCGATAGATAGTTGCGTTCCGACTTGTGTGGGAATGGATTGTTGGATGCAACTGCAGATCTTGTTACGTATCAGACCCCCGGTCAATCCAGTCCGAAACTTTGGTAAGCGATCGGGATTCGTTCGATCTTTGGATGGGACGGGAATGGATCTCTCTTTCTCCGTGTCTTTCTCTTCCTCTCTAAACTATGTATAGAAGGTGGGCATATTACTGGGAGAGAAGGAGGTTCGGTCATTGGTTGATGGGGATGGATGCAGATGCAGATTTCATGTACCTACTTACTTAGTTACTACTAATACTACTAGTCCTACTAAATTCAAGCAGGTCCTGAATTTTGTCCTGGTCGGGAGGAACTCTTATCGACATAGATACTTTTTGGTGGTTGGAGTGTTTACTACTATCATTTAACATCATAGTTTACTTACTCCCTTTATATATGCTGGATGATAGATAGTATGTGCACTATGTAGAGCCATATCAGAGTATTAGTTAGTCGATAACTAATATTAATCAATAACTCACTATTTAATGTGAGGGATAATTCCAGCCCCAGTGGAGCCCAAAACAAAAAGAAAAAAAAAAAGCTGCACAAGAAAAAAGCCCTGCCGCCGGGGCCCGGACGAGACCCCCCGTAACATACTATACATCACTGATACCGAGCGTATCGATCGAACTGTCTGGAAGAAATCCCTCCAGAACTCCGTCCAAGAGAAAGTACACTGACTGTAGGAAAGAGTCAAATCCTCAGAAATCAAGCACACGACCAGCATCCCCATCTGACCCACCTTGAGATGCACTCTCATGTGCTTCTATTCCGGTCAAACAGATTGCTTGCTGGAACGTCATCTGGGGACAATAATGGCCAGCCCTCGACGTCATGAGCCCATCACGTGACCCCACCGTCATCCCGGCTGGCGGTTCCGTAACCGCCAGCTCGTCCTTTCGAATCTCACCTACTCGTTCGTCCTCCTCTCCTCTTCTGCCGCGCCCTGATAACGACCGAATCCGACTTTCGCTTTTCCTTCTCCAAGAGTTTACGAACCCAGATCTTTCATCCTTCTCCTAGTACAGCTTCTGCTATCTTCATTTTCCTTCGAAAATGGCCTCTTTCCAGGATCGTGCTCAGCACGCCATTGCCCAGCTCGACAAGGAGGTAAGTCGTGTGTGCGTTTTCTGGTTTTGTGTCCTATTCCTCCTCCCTGTCTCCCCCCAATCGGTTTGCGAAAGGGGTTTCCTTTCTACCTGCATTGTATCTGCTCGTTTATTCCTGTCTTACAATGTTTATTCATCACGGATTGGAATCGTCGGAGAGCTGGAGGATGGGATGAAGTCGTGTTGTTGTTCTCCGATTTCTGCCTACTTGCATATTTCTCAGCCGCCAGTTTCGAAGCTAAACTAACCATCTCCTCTTCACACTTTAGCTCTCCAAGTACCCTGTCCTCAACAACTTGGAGCGCCAGACCTCCGTCCCCAAGGTCTACGTGATCCTGGGCCTGGTCGGCGTCTACTTCTTCTTGGTCTTCTTCAACATCGCCGGTGAATTCCTCGTCAACCTCGCTGGTTTCCTCATCCCTGGTTACTACTCCCTGAACGCTCTGTTCACCGCCGGAAAGGCCGACGACACACAGGTATGCTCCATCTCTGTATTCCCTACTGTTTTCTTAGATGATAATTGTGCTGATGATCGTGACCCTGCGTTTAGTGGTTGACGGTATGTTTCTCGTGATCCCCGTTATCGCGACATAACTCGGGCGTTTCATACGCCTAGGTTATCTTTCTGCACGTGACGACGTGCGCTCGTCAGCTAGCGGTTATACTGATTGGCATGTGATTCTTCTAGTACTGGGTTGTTTACGCTTTCTTCACCGTCATTGAGAGCGCTATCTCTGCCCCCTACTGGTTCCGTAAGTATTCGCAACGTTTGATGGGATTCCTACAGTGGAAAGTACATAAACTGATCGCGACGCTTCAACACAGCCTTCTACTACATCTTCAAGTTCGCCCTTGTCCTCTGGATGTCTCTTCCCCAGACCAAGTAAGCTATCCACTTCCCGCAGCTCCGAAACCCATTATTATCATCACCAGAACTCTGACTGACTTTCTTCTCCAGCGGTGCCCAAGTTGTCTTCCACTCCTTCATCCAGCCCGTGCTCGGCCGCTTCTTCCAGGGCGGTTCCACTTCGGCCAACCTCCGCGCCCAGGCCGAGGCTGCTGCCAAGGACCAGTAAATAGCTAAACCGTGAACTCCGGGTGAATCTGTGGCTTGATCTCGGTCAACTCACAGAGTCAGTCGTGTCTCGGTTTATGTTTTGGAGGAATTTTGCAAAACAAAGGCAAGACGAAAGCTTTCCTTCTGGGATCCTTTCAATGCCGATATGTTTGGAAAAAATCGATGTAACTGGATGAAGCGGTGTGATTGATTGATTGATTGACTGATTGATACGATACGATACTTTGAGCCTTGTCGGGCGAGAATTGGGCTATCCTTGTGTGGTTGTTTTCATGCTGTTCATTTTTGCCATGACTTGAATCTAAGTAGAATTGCGTGTTGAATCTTTTTGCGTTGGTTGGAAAGGGGAGAGGTTATCACGGGCCTAATATCCGTGCTCTCTCCCATGGCTGTGTGGTATTATTATTATAGCTATACTTTGATGCATTATGCCTCGTTTCTTGGTAAATTGAGCATTGTCAATAACTTGACTGGACTGGACTTGACCCTCCTGGTCATTCATTCATTCATTCCTTTTTTCGTGTCTTCTCTTGTCTTCCTTCTCTGTCGAAGGGAAATGGGAGAGTGTAAGTGGTGGACATTGGGGGGTGGGGGGTATAAGAACATTTCATCCTCTGAACCGAATCCGAAGGAGACGCATATGATAAAGGGGACAAAAAGAAGCGGGATAAAATACACTTGCAAGAGAATCAAAGCTGGTAGTTGTTGTTGTTGTGGTTGCCACCGACGCCGGAATGGAAACGGACCAGGGGTGACGGCAGGCTGCTACTCCTGGGCAAACACATACTATGACATAGGTAGCATTCCATATGCATCCCCAGACGTGCCCTGCCGCGCCAGCCTGCCCTTCGGATTGTCTTCATGTATATCATATCAATATCGCGTCCAGGTGACCGTAGCCTGGGCACATTTTTTGTGTGTGATTAAAAGAAAAGAAGCAGTAGAGGGGTAGTAGGTAGGTAGCCTGCATCAGTATAACCCAAAGCGATTCTGCCAACCATCCGATCTCGGGTTTAAAACCACGCGATAAGGAAACGGATTCGAATCGCTCGTAGTGATCGGGGGAATGTGCTCCTTATCGCGGTTAACCACGGCTAGGATCTTCAAGACGGCTTTCTGAAGCATATTCTCCATTGCTTTGCGCACTTTGGCGCGTTCTAGACCCGGCAATCACATGTCAGCACAGGGGAGAGAGAGGCAATAGCTTGGCGGATGGGGGGGTGGGTTGGGTTGCGTCCATACCAGACTCTGTTCGAGGAGTGGCTATCGTCACGTCCAAATTCCACACTTCCCAGCATACTTCTTCCTCGCCCTTCCCTGATAGTCCGCCAAACCAGATTCCCGGTCGTCGACGTCGCTTTTCGTAGAATTCCACGGCCATCCGTGCCCGGACACCCCCGCCGCCGCCATCGGGGGCGCTGGCGGCGGAGGAGTGCTGGCGGACGAGGGAACTCACACGGGAGTCGATGAGGGTTTCGAGGTCTACGTCGTTGATGGCGGGGAGGGTGAAGTCGAGGACGTCGAAGGTGATTGGGCGGATGGAGGGGAAGTATCGGTGGAAGAAGATGGTGTTGAGAATACCTGTTTGTGGAGAGGAGATGTTAGTATTTAGGTTTTTGTAGTTATAGAGAGGACGATTCAGTGAAGAGAAGAACTGACTCACCTTTTAACACGTCGCGGACGTTGGTGGTATCTGCGAAGATCTCCAAAAAGTACTCCGGGGGCGTTTTGCGGGGCTCCATCTTGATGGGGGCAGCGACCGGTGCCACCCTCTTGTTTAAGATGGAGAAATTAACTGAGCTCAGCGATCGGCAAGCACAAGTGACGGTCCAGCTAAGTTCCAAGCTGAGCTGTCCAGCGGGGAAGGGGTTCCGACGTGTTTAGTCGAAGGATGGATCAGATCGAGTCTGGGGTTGAAGGGGGAGGAACCAGTGATGGCGATGACGCTGGCGTTCGGGGGGAGGGAGGGGGGACAGAGCGGGATTGATTGACTAGGACCGGTGTGGAGATGTTGGCATGGAGAAAGGTTTATGGGGGAGGCATGGTTTGCTGGGGATATAATCCATGTGTATACAAGGATTCTGAAGGGCAGAGTTATATATGGAGGAGAAAGAAAGGAAGAGAAGAGAAGAGAGAAGATAAAGAAAGGAAGATAGAAGATGATGATGAAGGGAAGAATAATGGAGAGTCATGGCGTGTATGTAATGATGGGGAGCCCCTCGCCTGTGACGGTATGATGGCTGTTCTCCTTATCCCTTATCAGCCCTGATAGGGGGCATCCGCGTCCGTATCGTCTGGTATTGGCGGTACCTGGCAAACTGCGTCCACGTCGGACAGAATCAGGCTGAGATGCAAATGAAAAGAACAGAACACCGTGACTTCTAATAATGATGATGCAACTAATCGCGGGGATGAAGTGGCACAAACTATTGCCATTCGGTTCTTCTTCCCAGTCCCCACAACTTCTGTCTGTCTACTAGTCTAATCATGTACAGAGCATATATCTTAGTCTATATCCTCGCATCCGTGATAGCCTGACCCGCTGGTGACGATCATACGTGGTTGCTGCTGGCTGCTCTTTAGCCGAGGCCGCTCTAGGGACCCTCGATCCCCGACCGTGCTTCCCGTCGCTCTTCCATCACTCACGCCGTCTCTTCGGCTTTCCTTGTGATTCCCAACCTCCATTCTTCTTTTTCTTGCTTTCTATTTTACCTCGTACGATGAACTACACTGCTCCCTGTATCTGAGAAACTGTTCCCGATCATCTTTGCTCCATAATGATCAGTGCTACTAAGCGCTGGTTCCGGCGCAATCGCAAGGGCCTTGCGATCGGAGCTGGCGTGATCGGAGCGGGCTATCTTGCAGGCCAGTATCTGCTGTCCAAGATCTCAGAGGCACGCGAGCGCATGAGTAGTGACCGCATTGCTCGGGAGAAGTAAGTGATGGGCCTTCCTTACCTCTTATTATCTCAACGCTGTGACCTGCTCGCGTGTTCGAAAACAGTAACTGACGGCTATTGCCTCTTGTCCAGCTTGCGGCGACGCTTCGAACAAAATCAGACCGACTGTACCTATACTGTGCTAGCCCTATTACCGACCGCGGCGGAGGATATCCTCGAGGCACTTCCCGTGGAAGAATTGACCAAGGAACTCCAGAAGAAGCGTGCCGAACGACTAGCTCGTCTTAACGCTGGGGAAGGAACAGGCTCGGATCTAAGCTCGGTGGGCCCCAGTATAACGGACGACGATCGGCGAAGCTTGTCTAGCTTCCAAAGCGATGGCTTTGTCCGTACGAGTCAATTAGGGGAGTCGACCATCGAGGGGAGCGGCTCCCCACGGCCGAAGCGAAACAAGACCCAGCTATGGAACGAGGTCAAGATAACCTGTCAGTCACCCATTATTGTCACTTCTTTACAGGAACCAACGAGTCTAACGGACCATCATAGCTATCACTAGGTCGTTTACACTCATCTATACCCTGACCTTGCTGACCATCTTCACTCGAATCCAACTCAACCTGCTCGGCCGACGCAACTATCTGTCCAGCGTGATCTCCATGGCTACACCCCCTGCGGATGGATCGACTATTCGTCTTGAGGATCACGATGACGATGACCTCACACAAACACTGGGAAATGACTTTGAGACAAATCGGAGATACCTTGCCTTCAGTTGGTGGCTGCTTCACCGAGGCTGGAAGCAGTTGATGGAGGAGGTGCAGGCCGCCGTGACAGAGGTGTTCGGTCCTTTGAACCCCCGGGAGGACATTTCGGTGAGCAAGCTGTCGGAATTGATCCTACAAGTCCGTGGGAAGATAGAGGGCGTGACCGAGGAGGACAGGAAGTACGTTGACTATGAGCAAGTCCTAGTGGCCGGGTGCTGACCGTTCATTTGTCTTATCAGGTATCGGAAGTGGTTGTCTTATGTGCTCCCCTCGCGGGAAGAGGAGGACCATTTGTTGCAGGAGTCTGGGGTTCTCGGAGTGACGGAACCCGCGACGCCTCAAACAACAGCATCGCTGCGCCATCTCCTGGACGAGACGGCCGACCTGATCGACTCTCCGACTTTCACTCGTGTCATGTTGCTTCTCAACAACGAATGCTTCCAGACTCTCATTGAACAATGCAAGGCCGACGCGTTCAAGTCGTCCACTCAGGCGCCCACGTCCGTTCCTCAGTCGTTCACATCGGTCGCCACGGTCGTCCCCGCGGCTGACGGCTCCGACACGAAGACGAAGCTGGCAAACGTGTTGGCCGTTCTGGCTCGACAAGCCCATGTGATCGGAAATGGGACAGCTCCCCCCAACTTGTATCTTACTTCCATCGAACAAGGAGTACGAGAGCTCGAGGCCTTTGCGGCTGTTATATACAGCTCAAATTTTGACTCTGAGCTGCTTGGGACCGATCCAAGGACGCAGCCATCGGGAGCAGAGGCGGGCTTTGATGTTCCTACATCGCCTGCCCCCGAGATGATTGAGAAGGAGGAGGTCAGCGAAGAAGGACCTACCCCAGGAGCGTCCGTCGTAGCAGTGGACGATGACTCGGCCTTTGAGAAGGCATGGGGGAAGGCTGTAGACGACCAACCGTCGAGCAGTTGACCGTGTGACCGTATGCGGGCTTCTAGAGAATGTTGGGGAAGTTCGGGAATATCTGTGGCATAAATGGTCCCTAATCTATCCGGAGTCTCGTTTCGGCGCGGACTGAGGGAAGATATGGTATGATTGTATGATAGCTCGTGGTGGCGAGTAATTATTCTTTATGACAAGCTAGCTTATATGGGTTATGGGTATTCTAGAATCATTACCGGAAGGGCGGGGCATGTTGCTAGACTGGATGTTGAAAGTATCAGTATTCTCGTCCGCGTCCTCACTCCTCAGGGTGTTGGGGGGGACGTGGGACGAATGAAGGGCAGCACGTGGCCAGCCACTGCCACACATGATGGGCCCAAATGATCAGACTTGACAATCTTTGCCGAGCGACTTGGGAAGACTTCGATTTGCGCGCTTATGCAGGTTGTACGACTGTATACGGCATCTGTGCTACCCGGTCCATATCTCTTTGCTCTCTCATTGGGCCTACATGTGCATTTAGCTTTGAGTTTCGACCTGTGGCTGGATTCTGTAGTGGCCTGAAAGCATGAAATTCGACAGCGCGCAGATACTTCGTCGTCGTTCGAATGTCTATAACTCTCCCGATTTTGCCCAGAGCTTAGGGAAACGAACTGCTCGAGACCAGCCGATTGTGGGGTAGATAAGCTTAGCGAAGGAAGGGATCTGCGGGGAAAGGTGGGTTTGGCACGGCTACTATCTATTGAGTCCAGTGGAGTTGGCCATGGCTGGGCTACTGCTTAAAAGTACCTGCTCACTGCTTACTCTCTACTCCTACTAGACTAGGATTGTGATCCCGGGACAGGGAACTGGCAGACTGGATGGAGCTGGCAGCCGGGCATGTTCTCCTCCATTCCATTCCTCTTAAACTCTCTCCCCCTCGGCATGTTACATCCGTCCAGACTGGCATCATCTTCGGTTCCTACCCAGGTAAAGCCATCACCATGGCCTCAGACTGTGCAGATAAGCAATCGGATGAAACCTTCGAGTGGCACGGCTTGGGAGCCACCATGGATCGGACAATCATGCTAAGCAATGCCCAGCCTGTCAGGCTATCTGACTTGCGGATTAGGCCGAAATGGGTAGGATTTGTCCGACCCGTCCCATTTTCCTCGCTAATGTAAGGCCTCCCCGAGTCAATGAGTTAATTGGTCCTCGTCCACTGCCGTGTTCATCACAGCGGGCTGTATAGGCTATTGGTTAGGCTAGATGGTTCGTCAGCCGCCATCGATGCAGTCCGTATTCACTATCAATCTGTCTGGCACCCCTGCTTGCCCCTCTTGTGCTGTCTTTTCTTCTTTCTGCTCCCCTATGCATGGCCAATTGTCGTGATCCTCTGCTCAAATAGTGTCTCTGCGCCGTATCTCGTCTGTTTACGCGCTCATCGTGTCATACATCCCTTGCTTCTCGAACTTTGTTTTGGCACCTTTTATCTGCCGAGAGTACGCCCTTGTCAACTGGAGTAATCCGGTCACGATATTTCTATCTATCGTGTCGCAATACCGCGCAGAGACACAGAAGCGTACAACAATATTCATATTTCCGCGCACAACTCGCGATGGGGTCATCCGAAGGTACAGTTCATACGCATCGAGGTCTCACGAAGACGATAATGACCTCAATTTGCGTAAACAGAGACCATAGACCGCTCTCCTCAGCCCGGACCCGGATTGAAACCTGAGGACCACATTGAAGCGCTTCCCTCAGACCTCCCTGTTCTTACCACAACCACGGAGCGCAGGCTCTTGGCCAAGATTGACTGGCACATCGTCCCATGTCTCTGTGTTCTGTATCTACTTGCTTTCCTGGATCGGTATGTGCCTCCGTGCTGTCTTTGTAATGAGATGTCATTTCCATAACAGTTTATGTCTGGTACAGTGTCAATATCAGTAATGCGGCCGTACTCGGGCTCGAAACGGATCTCAACATCGCGACTGGAACGAAGTACAATACCGCACTCACTATATTCTTTGTGCCCTACGTTATATTCGAGATCCCGTCCAATATCTTGCTGAAGAAACTGAAACCTCATGTATGGTGTACGTGTCCTACGTACATGAACGCCGTTGTGCACCGTTTACTGGGTTGCTGATGATGGCAGTGTCTTTTTGTATGTTCGGGTTCGGCCTCGTCACGATATGTCAGGGCTTAGTCTCAAACTGGGGTGGACTGATGACTACACGCTGGTTCCTGGGTATGAAGGCATCCCCATCCAACGACACATAGCTAATATCGACACAGGGATGTTTGAAACGGGCATGTTCCCTGGATGTAGGTGATCTCTTTCCAAAGCTCTGAGAGTCTTTTGCTAATAGAGTGCCTGTCAAGGCTTCTATCTTCTGGGCATGTGGTATAAGCGTAGTGAGGCACAGAAGCGCTTTAGTTTCTTCTTCAGCTCGACCACATTGGCGGGCGCCTTCGGCGGCCTGCTTGCCAGCGGTCTAGGGGAGATGGCCGGGCTCCGAGGTTACGGGGGCTGGCGCTGGGTTTTCATCATTGAGGGAGTTATCACCTGCGTGGTTGCCATTGTCTGGTTCTTCATAATCCCCGGGTTCCCAGAGGATGTCAAATGGCTTAATGAGGAAGAGCGAATGTACATCCGGGCTAAGCTGGCTCGTGATGCAGGGAAAGCTGGGCATGATGCTCGTATGGGTTGGCGCGATGTGTTGGCTGTGTTCAAGGACTGTAAGTATATCCGAGGGCCAGGAGGCCCCCCTACATTCCTGCATATGCTGACTGAGATATAGACAAGATCTTTCTTGGCGGATTTATGTATTTTGGGCAGGTTGTCACAGCATATGGTAAGTTTGATTGCCATCTTGATCCGTGAATATCTGGAAAGTAGTATAGGTTAACAAACTCAGGATATGCTTTCTTTGCCCCGACTATTATCAAGACCTATGGCTACGGAAGTATGTATTCGTCACCACTAAATGCGCTGTATGCTGAGCTTTTGTACCAGCCATCCTAACGCAACTGTACTCGATCCCACCGTGGGCAGCTGCGTTTGCATTTTCGATGATAATTGCAACATTTTCGGATCTCACCAGACACCGGTTGGCTTTCACTTTGATTCCTACAGCCATCGCCATGGCTGGATTTGGAATACTATTGAATGTACACGGAGAGGCTCACCGACACGTCCAATACGGCGCGCTCTTCATGGTGACCTGTGGCTGCTATAGTGCGATGCCGGTTATCGTATGCTGGTTTGCTATGAACCTAGGGGGTCATCGCAGGCGGAGCGTGGGCACGGCATGGCAGGTTGGGTTCGGTAACAGTAAGTGACGTCGACGCAAAGCATAAATTGATGACGCTGCTGACATGGCTTATCTACCAGCGGGAGGTATCATCTCCACATATGCATTTCTAGCCAAAGATGCGCCTGAATATCGGAATGGTTACATTATCAGTCTGTCCTTTATCTGCTTCTCTGCGGCCTGCTGCATTGGATACTTTGTGGCTCTCTGGACGGAGAACAAGCGACGAGACCGGGTCATGGCCAATGGCGCCCCAGCGGAGCTGCGAGAAGATGAAGAAGAGGTACAGGGAGATCTGGCGGTGACCTACCGCTACGGCTACTAAGCGATTGTCCCAATGCAGCTTGAGAATCCTCATCTTCAACTCTGGCGGACATCTACATTCTACATAGACCACGATGTTATTCCTAGGTATACAGTAGTAGATAGGGCTGGCTAGGGCTGGCCTCGATAATACACACGAACAGGTGAAACGGGAATAGTGAATCTCAATGCCATTGAACGCATCATAACAACGAGTCTTTTTTTTCTCAATGGTAATGGGTTCCCACCGCATGCCACGGTACTGAAGGTACACGCACCGGGAGGGTTGATGTCACGGGCAAGGCCCAAAGCGGTAATGCCAGTCTCGGTAAAGCAGTGGATGACAATCAGCGAGCCAATCAGCGCCGGCGCAACACTAGCGAGCCCTTAGCGGCATTGCATGCTGAGTCAGCCACGGCGCACACAAGAAGCTCAACCGCGGCCGCTCTCCATCATTCTTGCAACCATCTCTTCATCCTCGCAGAAGTGTGAGTACCCCCTCCTAGCCTGCACGGGTTGCAGTGCTTCATCGTCTGGCTGGGCCAACAGTGACTGACTGACTGGTATCAGTTTCGAATTCTCTTCGAAGATGAGAGCCAAGTGGAGAAAGAAGCGCGTCCGTCGCCTCAAGCGCAAGAGAAGAAAGATGAGAGCTAGATCGTGAGTGCTATTCAAGCAACGAGCAAATCAAATCGACAAGCAACTAACCCATTCCCGCAGCAAATAAATTACTCGCCCACTCCATCTCAGCTCTTCATGTGAACGCTCAAGTTGAACGCTAAACATGACAATTGCGACGACGTCACGATGATGATTCCAGTTATGATCGTTACGTGGTTCGGTATCTCAATCGAGGCCTGTCTGGTCTGCCACAACATTCTCGGTGCAATCGACTTCGGAGCCCGCCGTTCAGCAGGTTGAAAAGCGATTTTCTCCACATCCAATCCCTCGGGCTCGTTATAACGTTTTCGATCTTCTCTTGATTTCCTTTTGATCCAGACAGTGGGGGTGCGAGTGCCGCATCTTTTCCTTCGGAGGTACGAATGTGTTTGGTGGGGTTGGAAGGCACGGTGGAAGAGTCGAATGGTCTTTCTGTATTCCTGTACTATCTTACTCTTGCCATTGCCGATGAGCTTTTGCGTGGGGACTGGTCAATTTCTCGTGTCCTGGGTTCTGTTGGGGAAATCCGATGGAATTCCGGGCCATGGAGAGGTCATGAGAATTTATTCCAAATACCAAAAAGTTTACGACGCACAGCTTATTCTCTGTAAATCTTCATGAATCACCGTAGCATGATCTTGTAGATGAATCCATGATATCCAAATTGTCAATCGCCCTATAATGATAGGGCCATAATGAACAGAGAGATTGTGCGTATGAAAGGCTGCCCGCCTGGACGCTTCTCCGCCTTCCGCTCACAGCCCGCCTGACCGCCTTCAACTTTTTTTCGTGGAATTTTCCCTCCACCTGCCCGATAATCTCCCTGCCAGTCTATTCTCTCTCCGCGGCGTCGCATTTCCCTTCAATTCCTTATCCAGACATAATGCCGTCCGATAAGGTTGAAAAGAAGCGCAAGCGCGCTTCCGATCGCCATGAGAGGCCCAGCAAGAAGCCCGCGCTCGAGCTGCAAGATCTGCCTCCGCTGGCCTCCAGCGTCGTCGAGGATGATAGCGAACTAGCTCCGGTGATCAGTATGCTGCACCTTTTCACACATTAACTTTCTTACCTTCACGGCATGTTCATATGAAATGGGAAAGGTCTAATATAATCCACTGCAGTCACTACTCCCGGTCTCAACGCCCCGCGCAATCTCCGCCTCAACCCATACCTCAAGACCCGCAGCAAAACCTCCTCCTCGTCGTCACGGAACAAGGGCATCGTCTCGTCGGAATTGCTGCTACAGTCCTCCGAGCACCCCAAGCTGGACTTCGTGGGTCGCGAGGCCGAGGAGGATGCCGATTCCCAACTGAAGCACTACGTCGCGGTCGTGGACCCGGAGAACAAAACCTGGCAGTTCATCGAAGTGCGGAAGATGACTCTGCGTGGCGCCGTTCGCAAGATGAGAGCCATTGAAGAGGAGGAAGAGGAGGAGAGTGACGAGGAGGAAATGGTACGCTCAATCCTCTCCTCTACGCCCTTCACTCGGGCTATAAGCTGACCCTTCACCCTTCAAATAGAAAACTATGCGCGCTCAAAGAACAGAGCTCACCAACACCTTCGGTACCAAACAATCTCGCAAGGCCGCTCAATCGCTTGCCGAAAACGCCCAGCTCTCCAACGTGCCCTCAGGCGCCGCCTCCGCCGCTGAAACCGCCATTCTGGGCGCAATGCCCGCCGACGCAGCCACAGATATCGCCTCCAAGACCGCCGCCCTGCAAGCGCAGGTTCAAGCCGCGAAGCCTCTGCCCCAGGCTAACCTGGACGCCGCGCACCCGTCAGAAGTCTACCCACTTGATGTCCTCGTCCCCAACGGCCTGGCCACTCTGCGCCAACTCCCCAACATCAAAGAATGGCAAGACAGCGTTAACTCCGGCGCCGCCGTCAACACCACCTCGCGGTACGTCTCCCGCCGCGTCGAAGCCGTCGCCCTCTCCGGAAACACCACCCACCTCCAAATCCTCCGCTTCATCCTCCTCCTCCTGGAACTCGCCCGCGGTCTCCGTCCCGGCCGCGACAAGTCCGCCGGCCCAGGCAGCAAGCGTCTTCCTCCCCGCGAAGACCTCCGCCGCATCCTCTCCGGTGGAACAACCAGCGAGAACTCCGCCAGCGGCGAACAGCTCGCGGACCCCGTCATCGACACCGTGCGCCGCAAGTTCGCGCCCCAGGGTGCTTCCCTCTCCAAGAACGACATCACCTTCCTCCACACTACCATCTGCGCCCTGTCGCTGCACATCCCGCCCCAACCTTCCAAGGATGGCGGCAATAGCTCCGCCGGCGGAAACGCCCCCAACGAGCTGGCCACCGATCCTTCGGATCTCCGTGATGATCTGCGCCTGGATAATGTCGCTATCACGCAGTATTTCCGCGAGTTGGGCTGCCGCGTCGACAAGCCCCGCGAGTCGGAGTTTGCTAAATGGGGTATCAAGGGTGGTAAGGCTGAGGCTGCGGCTAGACGGGTTGCTAGGTTGAAGATTCCAGTTGAGTTCCCGAAGGTTAGTCGTGGTGGTGGACGGAGGTAGATGGATTCAATTGGGAATGGAATTCGTTGTGATTGATTGTGTAAGTTAGCATTATTTCTCTGTATGTATGGATGGATACAAAAGAACGTCGTTTTCTCTCTTCCATTGTTTCACTTGGGCAGCTGGACCACTCTAAATTGGCTAAGCTTGCAGTAGTTCACTTGTAAATCAAGAGTCATTTCAGCTCCGTGACTTCTAGTCAATATCACTAGTAGTAACCTATCTAATGCACATGTCAAGTCTCAGGAAGTCAATCGTATATATGCCAGTGTTGCGATACGATATAGGTATAATATGGCTAGTACTATCTAACTAGATAGAGACAACAACAACAATTCTTATATTTCCCTTACTACCATACTACATACAGCCTTTAATGAACTGCAACTTTCTTTCTTTCTTTCTTTCTGTCTTTCTTTCTCTATATATACCAACTACTATGACTACCGATTATGATTATACTATAATGCACCAGTCAAATTTACTTATACAGTACTAAATTAGAAGTAACTGCTACTAGACATCATCACTTCTACCTCGCCAAATACTAACTCAACCTGGCAAGTGATAAAATCCCTACTATCACTGCTGAAAATATACTTTCTCAAGAAAAAAGGTAACTCAGATAATCCTAGTAACTCTGATTTAGACGTAGAATAGAATATTCACGTTAGTAGTAGTAGTAGTAGTAGTACTACTAATATTTACTTGTAAGTTTGTTACCAGTCTTTTACTACCACACGTTATACTTAATATATACCAGTACTACCTGTAGTTGAATATTGTACGCAGAATAGACTGAATTATCGCTGAATTCTAATTCATAGAATCTTAATGTGCAGATGTGTTGTGGATACTACCACCACCAGAATAAATAAATATAGCCCTCAGTAGTGACAGATAGTCAACACCAAAAAAAGGAAACTCCCACACGAGAGAGAGATGCAGAGAACTCGTCCGAAGAATCGAGGCGAGGCGCTGATGACAGTTGAGATGGCTAGTGAATTGATCACATGATAAATGACCATGATATTCTGAAGAGGGGGCAATCTGGATTGAATTCGGAGTTAAAGAAGATCATACTATCTTAGCATCACCCAGTTCATTTACTCAGATGACAAGGTGTTGTCGGTCTGAGTGGAATCCGGGATTGTAGGGGAAGATGAGAGTAACACTGAGGATTGTGCTGGATAGTGATTAGTAGGTGTAGCGACAGTTCTGACACCGGATATTCTCTTTCGACTACGGGATAGCCATCTGCAATGGTAAATGCATGTAGACTACAGAATACATACTACATCTACAATGATACTAGGAAAAATATGCGCAGCATAATGAGGAATAGACATGATCAATTCGATCTAGAACCCAAATTCATCGGTAACGACTGGCCGGTTCCATGTGTCTTTATCCACCTTCATATTTCATATTATGATAGAGCAAATGGCCAGAGTCTGGTCATATGGTCATGCTGGGATTGAAATCCGACAGCAGAGAAAAGAAAAGTAATAGTAACGATCAACTCATCCAGACCACCACATTATTAGCCTGAACCGAAAAGGTTTAAGCAGCAGCCACTCCCACGGGGATTGAGGCAGCAGCAGCAGCGGCGGGACGCACCGGAGTGGCGGTCTGCATGCGGGAAGCGGCCTGAGAGAGCGCCTCGGCAGCAGCCGTCTGGAACTCCCGCGTCACGGCAGCTTCGACGGTTTCGTTAGGCTGCAGGCCCAGCTGCGCGTCCTCCCAGATGGGCTGGTTGGCGGCCTCGGCACCCTCGACACCCACGCCAACAAAGCCTCCCTGGGCCTCCCAGTCACTGGCGCGCTTGATGCCCAGATCGTTCCAGACGGTCTGCAGAGCCTGCACCAAATGGTCCCGGTGCTCCTTGACGTGGCCGGGGGTGGGGGTGATGCGGAGACGCTCCTCACCGCGAGGCACGGTGGGGTAGTTGATGGCCTGCACATAGATGCCGTGCTCCTCGAGCAGCTTGTCCGAGGCCTGCTTGGCCACCTCGGCATCACCAACGAGAAGAGGGATGATGTGAGACGGGTTTGGAATCACCGGAATATCCAGCTCCTTGAGTGATTCCTTAACCGCGCGAGTGTGCAACTGTTGCAGGACGCGGTCGCGCTGGTGCTGTGCCTGGTACTGGATGGCGGTGTCCGCTCCAGCCATGGTAGCCGGGGGCAGCGAAGTTGTGAAGATGAAACCGGGGGCGAGAGAGCGGATGGTGTCCACCATTGCCGCCGATCCGGCAATGTAGCCACCAACGCAACCATACGCCTTGCCGAGAGTACCGGTGATAATGTCGATACGGTCCATGACGGTTCCTTTGGTGTCACGAGGGTTGGCCGTATCTTGAGAAGCGTAAATGTCGTAGTCGAGGTGCTCAGCCACTCCCGCACCGTGAGGTCCGTACATACCCACGGCATGGACTTCATCGAGGAAGGTGATGGCACCGTACTTGTCGGCCAGATCACAGATCTTTTCGATGGGGGCAATGGATCCGCACATACTGTAGACGGATTCGAAAGCAATAATCTTGGGAACGTTCAGAGGGAGAGATGCAAGTTTGGTTTCCAGATCGACCAGGTCGTTGTGCTTGAAAACCATCTTCTTGGCTCCAGAGTGACGGATACCCTGGATCATGGAGGCGTGGTTGAGACTGTCAGACAGAATGACACAGTCTGGCATCTTACTGCCCAGAGTCGCCAGAGTCGCATCGTTGGCCACGAAGCAGGAACTGAAGACCAGCGCAGCCTCCTTGTTGTGAAGTTTGGCCAAAGTGCTCTCGAGAGCAACGGCGTGCTGGTTGTGTCCGGAAATGTTGCGAGTACCTCCGGCACCCGCTCCGTAGTTGTCCAAGGTCTTGTGCATAGATTTCAGCACCTCGGGGTTACGACCCATGCCGAGGTAGTCGTTGGAGCACCACACGGTCACCCTCTCTTCAGGAGAAGCGGTGTGGGCACGAGGAAACTCCTTGGCCAGGCGATTGATGTTATTGAAGTACCGGTACGATTTGTCCTTGTGTTTCTTCTCGAGCTCGCCCTGGTAGAATGCATTGTAGTTGAAGGGTGCGGCGTTGGGGGCATGGGGACGAGGGCCGGGCACGGTAGCGGCAGAAGGTTCGAGCTGC